GCTTGTACGGCCTGAAGCAGAGTCCGCTGCTGTGGTACTCGGCGCTCAATGCGGTGTTGACTGGCGCCAAGTGGCAGAAGAGCCAGGTCGATGAGGCACTGTACTTCAAGGTCGGCGACGACGGAGTGGCATGCTGGGTGCTCGTCTACGTCGACGATCTGCTCGCTGCAAGTAGCAGCACTGCGATGCTGAAGGAGCTGAAGGAGCTGCTGGAGGCCGCCTTCGAGCTTCGCGAAATCAGCCCGGTCGAGAAGTATCTCGGGCTGGAAATCGTGCGCGACCGTCCTGCGAGGAAATTGTGGCTTCACCAGCAAGTCTACGTCGACAAGCTGCGTCGGCGTTTCATCGACGAGGAGCAGACCGGGCGAGTGCCGAAGACGCCTGTCTCCGTCGACGCCTACGCAGAGCTGGTGTTCGACGACGAGGAGTTTCAGTCGCGCGAGGAAGAAGAGTATCGGCAGAAGGTCGGCTCGCTGTAGTTCGCGGCCACCACGACAAGGCCCGACATTGCCTTCGCTTGCAGCAAGCTCGGATCGGGCCTGACAGTGCGGAGCGACAACCACTGGCGTGAGGTCGATCGCTGTCTGCACTACCTCGCTGAAACTCGTGACGCCGCTCTGGAGTTCGGCGGCGGACCAGAGTCGCTGTGTCTGGTTGGCTATGCAGATGCCGACGATGCTGGCGACAAGCAGAATCGGACGAGCACGGGCAGCTACATTTTCGTCTTCGGAGGAGCCGCAGTCTCCTGGGCGAGCCAGCGCATCAAGTGCGCGACGCTCTCGTCGACCGAATCAGAGTACGTCGCGGCGACCGAAGCCGGTAAGGAGGCTCGCCGTCTGCGCTTCCTCCTTGCAGAGTTCCGTCTGCTCGACCCAAGGAAGCCAACTGTTCTGCACGTGGACAACCAGTCGGCGATCACTGTCGCAGAAGGCTTGGGGCTCAAGGGCAACCTCATGCACATGGAGCGACGCTACGCCTGGCTGCAGCAGATGGTGAAGCGCGGGAAGATTGCTCTGCAGTACATCCCGACCTCCGAGCAGCCGGCGGATTTTCTGACGAAGGCGCTGCATTTTCCGGCTTTCAACCGGTGCTCCGTCGCAATCGGCCAAGTGCGTCTTGCCGACGTGGGCGACGGGGATAACGAGGTGCAGCAGTAGGTGCCGTGCCCTTTCTGCACGGCTGGTGCGGTGATCTACGTGCTATGTATTCGGTGCACGTAGAAGGAATTTTCTCCTTGTATTCTATCCCTCTGGGTTCTGGGTGGACCTTGTGTATGGGTGCCCAAGCGTGAGCTGGGCAGGGGAGTGTCGAAGAGAAAAGGCCCCGCCCTCGCTTTGGCGAAGTCGACGAGGCATTTGGAACAAAACGGTGTTCGTTTCGTGGTCATCGGCGACTTCGGGGACTTTTATCTGTGTGCGTCGAGCCGTTTGTCGACGAGATTGATTGGTCGAGGTAGAAGTGTTCCTTCTGCTCGATCAAAGTCCTCGTCTAGGAGGAGCTCGTCGACGGGAGTAAAACGGCGTCGAAGACGAGCCTTTTTGATAGACGGAATTGGCAGAATTGGTGTTTCGACGGTTTGCTGGTCGACAGAATTGAGTTCGACGAGTGTTTCGTCGAGCAGATCGATTCTGGTCGACCAGAATTACTTAGCTCCAAAATTTTCAATGTAAGCGAATTTCGCCCAATCACGGAAGAGCAAATTTCGACCAATCAGGTAATTTCGGAAATTGTACTCCCCAGGAGAATTCGATTCAGTAAGGAAACTGAACCTGAAACACGTTTTTACTAACAGTAAAAACGTGCACAACTATGAACGTTGTAAACCTGAGCAACTACCAACTCAGGTGAAATATGCATGTGCTTGTCGATTCACCTGCCGTTGCTGACTCGACAGATTCAGGTGCTTGTCGAGGAACGTTTCTACGGGGTTCACTGTCTTTGCTATTTGTTCTCTTTGCTTGTATCATATTCTTGTTCTATGAACTTTTGCTAGTGGAACTATGCTTGAATTCTACCAAGGCAACTAAGTCAACTTCTCAGAATCACTGCCAGAACTCTGACCGTGTGTCCCACGCTAGTCAAGCTCTCCCGTAGAATAGTATTCTCCGCACCGCCAGGCGCCACGTGAGTGGCACGACACACTGAGGACGACACTTGCGGCTCTTGGGTTTGCTCCGTCGAATGCTGACTCGTCGCTGTTTCTGCGCACCGACACTTCGCTTCCGCCGTTCTACATCCTCGTGTACGTCGACGACTTGGTCTTTGCCACTGCTGACACTGAGGCTCTCGCCCTGGTGAAGTCGGAGCTGCAGAAGAGACACACGTGCACAGACCTGGGTGAGCTGCGCAGTTACCTTGGCTTGCAGATCACTCGGGACAGAGCACGCCGCACCATCAACCTGACTCAGTCACACATGGTGCAGCAGGTCCTTCAGCGCTTCGGCTTCACCTGGTCCTCGGCACAGGCCACTCCTCTGGCTACAGGTCACTCGCTCTCAGCTCCACCTTCGGACGAGTCCGTAGAGCCGAGTGGTCCTTACCCGGAGCTAGTTGGCTGCCTCATGTACCTGATGACCTGCACTCGTCCTGACCTCGTGTACCCTCTTGGCCTTCTGGCTCGCTACGTGGCTCCTGGTCGGCACCGAAAGGTGCACATGGATGCTGCTAAGAGGGTACTGGGCTACTTGTGCAGTACATCGTGCATGGGGCTCGTGCTTGGAGGACGGGCCGACGTTGTCCTCACTGGTCACTCGGACGCTTCTTGGATTGACGACCAGGCTACGCAGCGGTCGTCACAGGGTTACACCTTCAGCCTTGGCTCTGGTTCAGTTTCTTGGCGTTCTACACGCTCGTCTTCAGTTCTCAGCTCCAGTTGTGAGGCTGAGATCTACGCCACAGCCATGGCTGCACAGGAGTTACGCTGGCTCACCTACCTGCTGACCGACTTGGGAGAGCGGCCTCGCTCTCCTCCAGTGGTGTACGTCGACAACAAGGCCGCCATTGCCTTGTGTCAGGAGGACAGACTGGAGCACAGAACGAAGCACATCGCTCTGCGTTACTTCTTGGCTGGAGAGTTGCAGCAGCGTGGTCAGCTTCGTCTTGCACACGTGGCCACTCGGGCCAACACTGCTGATATATTCACCAGCGTGGTCAGCTTCGTCTTGTGATCATCAGCGTTTCTGCACTTTGTTAGGCCTTGTGCCCACTTTTCCTCACTTGCTGTAGACTTTGCTTGTACTGTGATCTATATATATATCTGCATGCTTACTGTGCTAAGTAGAGATCACTGTATTGTTGTTGTTGCATATATACCTCTGCATGTGAACTGGCCTTGTGGCCCTTTGCTTGTGCTCAGTGTGTGTGGTGACGTTGTGATCCACCATGAGCTTGCTTTACTTCTCTTGACTGGTCTTGTGACCCCTTAGTCTCCCCCACTTTGCCTATGGGGGTGTGTCAAATTATATGCCTATGTCATAATAAAATGTAGGCTTTAGTGGGGTAGCTAATGTAGGGTATAGTTTTTGTTACTTGTATCCAACTTTCTCGATAGTGCAACCGCCTTTTTCCCTTTACTCTCGACAGACGGGGCGACGTTGTCCTCACTGGGCACTCGGACGCTTCTTGGGTTGACGACCTGGCTACGCAGCGGTCGTCACAGGGTTACACCTTCAGTCTTGGCTCTGGCTCTGTGTCTTAGCAGTCTACACGCTCGTCTTCTGTTCTCAGCTCCAGTTGTGAGGCTGAGATCTACGCTGGGGCCATGGCTGCACAGGAGTTACGCTGGCTTACCTACCTGCTGACTGACTTGGGAGAGAGGCCTCGTTCTCCTCCATTTCTGTACGTCGACAACAAGGCCGCCATCGCCTTGTGTCAGGAGCACAGACTGGAGCGCAGAACGAAGCACATCGCTCTGCGTTACTTCCTTGCTCGAGAGTTGCAGCAGCGTGGTCAGCTTCGTATCGCTCACGCGCCCACATGGGCCAACACTGCTGATGTGTTCACCAAGGCCCTTCCGGCTGGTGATCATCAGTGCTTCTGCACTGCTCTAGGCCTGGTGCCTACGTTTCCTCACTTGCTGTAGACTCTGGTTGTACTGTGATCTATATATGTATACCTGCATATTTACTCTTGCTAGGTAGTGATCACTGTACTGTTATTGTTGCGCATATACCTCTGCATGTGAACTGGCCTTGTGACCCCTTTACTTGTGCTCGAGTGTGTGGTGACGTTGTGATCCACTCTGAGCTTGCTTTGGTTTGCTTTTCTTGACTGGTCTTGTGACCTCTTGTTCTCCCCCACTTTGCCTATGGGGGTGTGTCAAACTATATATGTGTTAGTTCTGTGTAGGCTATAGTGGGGTAGCCCATATGGGGTACAACCCGCAGTTAGGGTTAGTACTTGTACCCATATTTCATTCAATGCAATCATCCATGCTTGCTATCTTGACAGCCATCGCTCGCCAGCGATGCGCATGCCTCCCTGCGCCTTTCTGTGGACATTGAGATGACTGCTGATGCTGACTACGTCAGAGAGGAGCTCTGCAAGTAGGCTCCCTGCTTTGTTGTACAGATACCGTGGATCAGCAATTAAATTTTCTGTAAAACACCTTAAGCGTTGAAAATATCATAATACGTGTACTTACAAATTGAGAGATGAGTGATTCACCTAAGTCAAGCTGATACCCGTATCATTTACAAACTGTACCAAACCCATCATCAATCGCGATATCGTATCTCACACCCGACACAATCGAGGTGTTGAAGAAACCATCCCCAAGGCGTTCCTCCCAGCCAATCGTGTGCGAGCAAGGTATTTCCTCTCAGCAACCAGCAATCGCCTGCAGCACTCACATCACAAAGCAGTCTGAATCAAGTCTCGCAGCACAGATCAAGGCTTACCTGCGTCCTTGGTTAATCGAGCCCACTAATGTATGAAAGATCAGGCTCTTACTGCGTAATTTGTTGATTGATGCGACGAACCGAACCGCTCGCCGAGCCACGATGAAGGCGTTTTCGTTAGCGAAGAAGAAAACCCCGTTTCAGAAGCATCGCGAAGAGGAGGCGAAAAAAAAGGTAAGTCCTCGCTATTGGAGGATTTAGGATAATTTCTTATCTCCCAACTAATAATTGCTTTGCGTCCTTCATGTTTCTAGGTCTCAAGATGTTGCTCCAGCCTTCGTTCAATTGTAGCTTATAACCTTTCTGTTTCGTCTTTTCATGTGCCACTTATCATTCTTTTACTCTAATGTTTCGTCTTGCAGCGGGAAGCGGAGGAGGCGGCGCGTGTCTACGATGAATTCGTCGAGTCTTTTAAAGTGGATGATAAGAAACCGAAGGCATTTGTGCGAGGAGGAACTATCAATCCCAACGCCAAGCACGACACACCCGGGGAAGGTACAGCTGCTCAGTTAAGCATTTCCCGGTGCGGTTTTTTTTTCTCTTTCCGAATGCGGCTAATTTATTCTTGGAGCCTTTTCCGCGTCATAATCACGCCTATCTTATTCTCTGCTGCCTACCTGTTTCCCCTTTTCGTTATTATCACGCGAATGTTCTCTCCATAACCCGGTATCTTCCTCTTCACGGGACAATCTGATACCAAGTGGGTTACTTTCCGGGATTCCCTTGCCGCTAGAGGTTGCGACAGACTCTTTAAAGACGGACTCGTTGTTAATTTAATAGGCTGTGATGTACCCATTTATGCTGAACATATCTCCTTTGCAGAACCTGGAAGCGCTTCCAAAAAGGCCACAGCGAGGTGAGAGGCCTTCCGGCGCCTCCTCCTATCCGACATTCCTCTTCCCACAGCGTATCATATCATATCGTATCATCTCAGATCAGAAAGGCCTGGAAAGCTCTTGGTTAAAGCGATCTTACCAGGCTTATACGACGGTTTTCACTGAGGAGATTTACCCTGTTGAATTCGAGGATCCCATTTCGTCGTTGTTTTCGCATCCGCTCGTTTCTGTTCGGGAGGTCCGGTTAGTGTGACAGGTCAGAGGTGGTCGATGGGATTGTGTGATGGTGATGTTTCTTGTGGCAGGGATTTGGAGATAACATTAGTCTCCGTCCCTTTCCGTACCTCAATCACCCCTCACACTCTTCCCCGTCCTGCCCCGCTACCGTCTTGGCCTACCATTTTCCCTATCCCCCCACGCTCCCTTTCCCGACGCCGTTTTCCCCTTCCACCCCCCTCCTTCCGCCTTCCTTTCCGCCTCTTGTTTTGTCTTCGTCCCTCCGTTTTGCCTTCCTTCGTTTTCTCTCTTCGTGTCCGAGTCCCCTCTTGTGCTCCTTCCTGTGCTCCTTCCTGTTCTCCTTCTCGTGCTCCTTCCCGTGCCCCTCCCTGTGCCCCTCCCTCGCCGTTCGTTTGCTCCTCTGCTCGTCACGTGTATGGTGCTGTATGCATGGCAGATACGTTCCGTCATTCCTGCCGCCTCCGTCGCAAAGCCCGCTTGCTGGAATTTTATCCAAGGACAAGAATGTAGGTGCAGCGCGTTTCCTTCCGTTTTGGCTGCCTTTATCATCAACCGAGCACATTATATCAGTCGACTCAAAATTTTATACAACCATGCATGTTCAATCAAACACTTTCTGGGCGCTTCAAATTCTTCATAGTGTCGTAGCAGGGCCATGTCTGGTGACTGCACAGGGTCACTCTTGCCTACTTCCCTTTCTTCACTTCGAAGGCCGAAATGGTCCCTATTTGTAAACCAGTAATTTTCAAGCCTTGCTGGCCGTTGTCATGCTCTTCCCTCCCTTCCCCCCTCTGTCCCCTCCGCCCCCACTCCGCCCCTCTCCCACCTTTTCTCCATCATCCTGTTTTGTCTCTCTGAACCAGGAAGATCATCATCAAAACCTATCCTCTCTCACCTAATCGTCGCTCTCCTCCCCCTCTCCCTTTCTCCCGTCCTCCTTCCCTCCCTCTGTCTCTCCCGCCGTCTCTCCCTCGCTCCCTTCATTCAGCCGTTCGGGGTGGATGAACCAGAGAAACCAGCAGAGCCCGTGCCAAAGGCGAAGGAGCAGAAGAAGCCGCGCAACATCGATTTCTTCATGCAGGAGCTGAAGCAGGAGCAGGAGCTGCGCGAGCAGAGGGAGAAGGAGCTCAAAGAGCGAGCGGAAGCGAGGGCGGCAGGCAAGCCGTATGGGAACGAGGGGCAGCCGTCGCTGCTGGGGAGTGAGGGGACGGATCTGCTGCAACCGTTCCCAGACGGGGTTCGAAGAAGGGTGAGTGTTGGTACTCTGTACCCTGTCTGTTGCTGATGTATGGCAATGGGGAGAAAATGTCGCTGCAGGGGAGTGAGGGCACAGATCTGTCGGCTTAGGAGGGTGAATCTGTCGCCTGTCTTGTCTTGTGCGTTCTCCCTTCCCCCCGGCCCAAGTTACCCCTTTAGTAATCATACCATCCCCTTTAGTGTTTTCCTTTTCTAAATATGTTGTGTTTGGGCCCTAATATGTTTTATGTGTTCTTCTCTTGCCCCTCATCCCTGCTCCTTTTCCTAGAGCACTGACATTCTCCATGTCTTCCCCCCCTTTTTCCCCTTTCTCCAAAACCCATACCCTTGTATCTCCATCTATCCATGCAGCCGTCCAAGTTCGACACAGGCCCGCCCCTCATTGCCACGCCTCCGGGCATCACCACTGTTTCCACCGACGATGGGGGAGACCCCCTCACCACCAACCTTTATGTCGGCAACCTGTCTCCCAAGGTAAGGCGTGAAGCACGGCCTGGGGCGTGGCTTGCAATGCAACAGGTGATGATAGGGTTTGTCAGTGAGTAAGAACAGAATACATAACGGTGAGTTGTCAGTTAGGAGTGGTGAGAGTGGGTCGCCTTCTCACCACGGCCTGGAGTGTGGCATGTAACTGTTGGTGATGGGTTACGTCTTCCCTCATGTCCAATTCACCAGCTCGGGATATTTCCCGCTAAACTAGTGCCGTGCCACTGCTGGCCAGTGTCTTACCACGTGAAATGTCGTCCACCAGATTTGAGCCTAGATGGAAATAATTCTAGATTAAAATCATCCCAAGTGGACGGGAATTCTCTGCAAAGGACGTTTGAACGGTTTGGGCCGATAGAGAGTGTCAAGATTATGTGGACGCGTGGGGCTTTATAGGGAGTTTTTGAGAATTCTCAAAAACTCCCTTCATGTGGACGCGTGGGGCTTTATTCTTTGCTATCGCTTCCTTCCCTCCATTCCTCTTCTCTCTTCCACCTCCTTCCTTTGCATCCCTGTTCAGGTGGACGAGAATTTCCTGCTGAGGACGTTTGGGCGGTTTGGGCCGATAGCGAGTGTGAAGAGAAAATCATGTGATCGCGCACAGAGGAGCACCACTGGAGGGGCTGTAACCCACACCCATTGCTTCCTTCCCTCCCGTCCTCCTCCTCTCGTTTCCTCCTTCCTCCAATAAATTCATTGACAGGTGGACGAGATTTCTTGTGAGGGCGTTTGGGCGGTTTGGGCCGATAGCGAGTGTGAAGATCATGTGGCCGCGCACAGAGGAGGAGCACCGGCAACCAGCAGTGCATCACCAGCTAGTCTCCTTCCTCTCTTACCCTCATTCCCCACATCAGGTGGACGAGAACTTTCTCCTGAGGACGTTTGGGCGGTTTGGGCCGATAGCAAGTGTGAAGATCATGTGGCCGCGCACAGAGGAGGAGCACTCTTCCGCACCAACCTCCCCGCACTCTCCTTCATCCCTGCCCTTTTGCTCCCCTCCCTTGTTTTCCAGGTGGATGAAAATTTCCTGCTGAGGACGTTTGGGCCGATAGCGAGTGTGAAGATCATGTGGCCGCGCACAGAGGAGGAGCACCGGCGGCAAGCCATGCTCTAACAACCTTCTCTCCCCCTTCACCCCCCCACACCCCATCATCATTGTCCTCTCCAGGTCGATGAGAATTTCCTGCTACGGACGTTTGGGCGGTTTGGGCCGATAGCGAGTGTGAAGATCATGTGGCCGCGCACAGAGGAGGAGCACCGGCGGCAGCGCAACTGCGGCTTCGTGGCGTTCATGAAGCGCGCCGATGCTGCCAAGGCCAAGAACGAGATGGACTGTATGTGGGGAAAAGGGGGAGAGTGGGGGGACATGGCAGGGAATGGCTGGGGGGCAGAGCGGTGGAGTTTGGGGGAGAATGGTGGGAATGGCTTCTGAGGCGCATCAAGCAGCAACTGCGGGTTTGTGGCGTTTATGAAGCGTGCTGATGCTGCCAAGGCCAAGAACGAGATGGACTGTACGTCAGGAGGGAGCAGGGGATGGGGTGAGAGGTGGGGCGTGGGGGAGAATAGTGCGGATGTTTGGGAATGGCTATGTAGGCGCCTCAAAATATCGAACTGCGGGTTCGTGGCGTTCATGAAGCGCGCCGATGCTGCCAAGGCCAAGAACGAGATGGACTGTACATGCTGGGGGGGTCGGGGGAGGGCTTGGAGAGATGGTGCATGGAGGAGAGAGGGAGGGGGGGGGGGGGGGGGGGGGGGGGGGTTGGTGGGGATGTTCTGGAGAGGGTTCATAGGCGGTTTAAGAGGCAACTGCGGGTCCGTGGCGTTCATGAAGCGCGCCGATGCTGCCAAGGCCAAGAACGAGATGGACTGTACATGCTGGGAAGTAGGGGTTGGGGGGGGGGGGGAAGGGGTGAGGGCGTGTGGGGAGAGGTGGAGAATGGGGGAATGGTGGGGATTGGTGGAGCGCAATGCTGGAGGCTGGGCGGGAAGAGGTTGGGGCAAAGCGGTCTCTCTGCCTTTTAGTCATCTCTTTTAAGTACTCTATTCTTTCATCACCCCACCCCGCACAAGCAGGCATGGTGGTGTATGAGTACGAGATCCGCATAGGGTGGGGCAAGGCCGTCTCGCTGCCTGCCTCGGCTCTCCCGGCGCCTCCCCCTGGCCAGATGGCAGTTCGCCCCAAGGAGCTGCCGCCCAACTCAGGAGAGGCTGTTGCTGCCAACAGCGCTGTTATTGCTAACAGTGCTGACCCGCTTGCTGCTGCTGCCGCCGCTGCTGCTGCTGCTGCGGCTGCGATCAACATGGCGAGCTTGGGAGCGGAGAACGCAGAAGTGGTAAGTGTTCTGGGGAGGCTGTTGGCTAATAGTGCTGACCCGCTTGCTGCTGCTGCCGCTGCTGCTGCTGCTGCTGCTGCCGCCGCTGCTGCTGCTGCTGCTGCGATCAACATGGCTAGCTTGGGAGCAGAGAATGCGGAAGTGGTGAGTGTTCCGGGGAGGCTGTTGGCTGTTGGCTGTTGGCTAATAGTGCTGACCCGCTTGCTGCTGCTGCCGCTGCTGCTGCGGCTGCGATCAACATGGCGAGCCTTGGAGCAGAGAACGCGGAGGTGGTGAGTGTTCAGTGAAAGTTCACCATCCAGAGGTTGGCTGCTGCCAGTTTGTCATGCCAACAGCCCCGGGCCGCTTGATGCTGCTGCTGCAGCTGCGATCAACATGGCGAGCCTTGGAGCAGAGAATGCGGAGGTGGTGAGTGTTCAGTGAAAGTTCACCGTCCAGAGGTTGGCTGCTGCCAGTTTGTCATGCCAACAGCGCCGGGCCGCTTGATGCTGCTGCTGCGGCTGCGATTAACATGGCGAGCCTGGGAGCAGAGAATGCGGAGGTGGTGTGTGTTCATTGAGTGTTCATCGTCCATCCATGGGGTGTGTTGCTGCCAACAGCGCTGTTATTGCTAATAGCACTGACCCGCTTGCTGCTGCTGCCGCCACTGCTGCGGCTGCGGCTGCGATCAACATGGTGATTATTCAATGAAGGTTCATCATCCAGGGGTTTGGGGTTTGAGGTATGTTGCTCTTACTTCACTCCTTGCGTTTTACCCTTTCTTCACCCCTCCTTACTCTTGTTACCCCTTGTTTTGCCCCCTTCCACTTCCAGGTCATCACGCCGAACGTGCCAGACATCAAGATAGTCCCGCCCAAGGATCCACATCAGCGCCACGTCATCGATACGCTGGCGCTGTATGTGCTGGACGACGGGTGCATGTTGGAGCAGGCCATCATGGAGCGCGGCCGCGGCAACCCGCTCTTCTCCTTCCTCTTTGACCTCGGCTCGCCCGACCACACTTATTATGTGTGGCGAGTCTTCTCTTTTGCACAGGTAGGTGCTTATTTCTGAGTGCTTCTCCCCTGTTTCCCTGGCACCCTGTGAGCTGCACTCTGTGTGGGACCTATACCATAGCATAGGGGGCGCACTGGCGCTGTATGTGCTGTACGGGCTGGGGGGGATGGGTGCATGTTGGAGCAGGCCATCATGGAGCGCGGCCGCGGCAACCCGCTCTTCTCCTTCCTCTTTGACCTCGGCTCGCCCGACCACACCTACTACGTCTGGTGCGTCTTCTCCTTCGCCCAGGTGAGCTACTCGCTCTCTATCCCTCTTGCGGGTATGTGTTATGTGGTGCTTCTCTCCCCTGAGCGGCTGGAGCGCCATGAGCTGCAGCCTGCAGCTGCACGGTGAGGCAAGGCAAGGGGGGCAACCCGCTCTTCTCCTTCCTCTTTGACCTCGGCTCGCCCGACCACACCTACTACGTCTGGCGTGTCTTCTCCTTCGCCCAGGTAAGAGTTGCTTTCTCTGTCTCTCGGTTATGTGGTATGCAATGCAGTGCTTCTCCCCTGCGGGACTGGAGCACCATGTGCCGCAGGAAGGGGCAACCCGCTCTTCTCCTTCCTCTTCGACCTTGGCTCGCCAGATCATACCTACTATGAGTGGCGCGTCTTCTCTTTCGCGCAGGTATTGATGCTAAACGTCAGCGCTCTTTCTGTGCTGCCACGCTATGTCTGTGGTGCAAGACTGGCACATGGTGACCGTATGCGACTACTTCTGAGGCGCCTCAAAAGTCACCAGTGCTCTATCTGTGCTGCCACGCTATGTCTGTGGTGCAAGACTAGCACATGGTGACCGTATGTGTGTCATGACAGGGGGATACATTGCAGGCAGTGGCTAATGCAATGCAAGTCTCATGATAACCTGCATCGTTTTTCTTCCCGTATGCATGTGTGTCACAGCAGGGAGACACCCTGCAGTGGTGGCGGGGAGGGAACCCTACATCATGATCACAGGGAGCTCCGCCGCTTTTAACAGCCAGTCTGTACTCATTATAACCTGTCTCGTTTTATGTTTCCTGTATGCCGTGTCTGTTATAACAGGGAGACACCCTACAAAGGTGGCGCACGGACCCCTACATCATGATCTCAGGCAGCGGCAGGTGGATCCCACCCCTCTAGCAGGCTCTATTCTCAGTCTCCGTATAACCTGACTCGTTTTTCTTTCCATATGTACTGTGTATATGTCCGTCACAACAGGGAGACACCCTACAGCGGTGGCGCACGGATCCCTACATCATGATATCAGGCAGCGGCAGGTGGATTCCGCCCCCTCTGCCCAAGACAGACGAGCTCGTGGGCCCCACAATTCTGGACAAGGACAAGGGCGGATCCACCTACGCTGCAGGGAAGCCAAAGGTATGCTGGTGTGAGGGTGGGGGAGCATAGGTATGCGTACACTCCTTTGCCTAAGATGGGCGAGCTCGTGGGCCCCACAATTCTGGACAAGGACAAGAGCGGGTCCACCTACGCTGCAGGGAAACCTAAGGTACGTTTGTGGGGTTAACATAAGGTAAGAGAAAGGAGCATGGGTATTTATTTGTTCGCCTCCTCTGCCCAGGACGGATGAGCTCATGGGGCCCACTATACTGGACAAGGACAAGGGCGGGTCCATCCACCTACGCTGCAGGGAAGCCAAAGGTGCGGATGTTGTTGGGGGTAATGCAAGCTAAGAGAAGGGGGAGCATAGGAATTGTACCTCTACGCACCCCTTGCCTCAGTCGTCAGTTTTGGGTGGACAAGTCTGGCTGGAGCCTGTTCTCCCACCATTGCTTTTCCCTGTGCTTGGCCCTTTCCTGTCCCCTCAGGAGCATTCCCTGATGGAGAAGCAGAGGGACAGGTTTGAGGACTTGCTGAGGCGACTCTCTCTAGAGAGGGAGGATATCTGCACCGCCATGGCCTTTGCGCATACAGTCCCTCACTCCCCTCCACGTTGTTAAAGTGCTAATAGAGTTGCGCACTCCCCTCCACCGCTCTGACTGAACCACTGCGTGTTTATTTGCTCTTTTGCTATCCCTCCCCGCTGTTCCCCTGTTTCCCACCAGGAGCATTCCCTAACGGAGAAGCAGCGGGACAAGTTTGAGGACTTTCTGAGGCGACTCTTGCTGGAGAGGGAGGACATGTGCAACACCATGGCCTTTGCTCTCGACCACGCAGAAGCAACCTTCCGATGTGGGGGAGGTGCTCATAGAGTCGCTCACTTCCCTCCACCGCTCTAAACCACTGTTTGTTCGTTTGTTCTCCTGCCTTGTCTTCACCCTGTGTCCTTCTCAGGAGCACTCCCTAACGGAGAAGCAGCAGGACAAGTTTGAGGACTTTCTGAGGCGACTCTTGCTGGAGAGGGATGACATCTGCAACACCATGGCCTTTGCTCTCGACCACGCAGAAGCAACCTTTCGATGTGGTGGAGGTGCTCATAGAGTCGCTCACTTCCCTCCACCGCTCTAAACCACTGTTTGTTCATTTGTTCTCCTGCCTTGTCTTCACCCTGTGTCCTTCTCAGGAGCACTCCCTAACGGAGAAGCAGCGGGACAAGTTTGAGGACTTGCTGAGGCGGCTCTCTCTCGAGAGGGAGGACATTTGCAATGCCATGGCGTTTGCTCTCGACCACGCAGAAGCAGCCACAGACATAGTCGAAGTGCTTATCGAGTCCCTCACGCTGCTCGAAACGCCCATCCCCCTTAAAGTCGCGCGCCTGATGCTTGTATCGGATATCCTCCACAATTCATCTGCGCCGGTCCGGAACGCATCGGCCTACCGGACCGCTTTCCAGGGGTATTTACCCGACGTGATGGAGAGTTTTAACGACTGTTTGAATGCCGTTTCGGGCAGGATGACCGCGGAAGCTCTGAAGGACCGGGTCCTGAAGGTGATTCAGGTGTGGGCGGATTGGTTTTTGTTCTCCGAAGCGTATTTGAACGGGCTTAGAATGACGTTTCTGAGGGCGGTTGGGACGGCTGTGCCGCCGTTTCACACTCTGCCCGAGGATGAAGAGGAGGAGGAGGAGCAAGGCGGGGCTGGGAATGGGGCTGGTGGGTCAAAGGATGCAAATAATAGCGCTGCTGCTGCTGGTTCTGGTGCCGGTGGTGCGGACAGTGTTGGTGGTGGTGGTGACACTGCTGCTGCTTCTGCGGAAGGATCAGCAGCATCAGCAGCAGAGGGAGACTCAGCAGCAGCAGAGGCTTCTGTGCCGGTCTCTCCAGAGGAGGCAGCCCGAAAGGAGCTTCTCGCACTCCCATTGGTGGAGCTCAAGCGTCGCTGCAAGCACAACGGCTTATCAACCCGAGGGGGAGTGCCTATCATGGTGGCTCGGCTGCTTTCGTTGGATGCGACTGAACAGGCAAAGAAGGCTGCCGAAGCTGAGGCAGCTGCTGCGGCTGCTGCTGCGGCCGAAGCTGCGGCAGAGGCTCGGAGGGCGAGCATCGCGAAGCGAATGGAAGGGAGTGTGGGGTGGTCGGGATGGGTTGAGGTGAAGAAGGAAGAGAAGGAAGGGAGCAAGGGCGATGCGGGTGGGGAGGGGGGTAGGGCTGGTGCTGCTGGTGATAGTGGTGGTGCTGCATTGCCAAAGAAGTTTGTCCTGCCTACACCGGAGCTTAAAGCCTTTGGATCGAAATTGGAGAAATTGGAGAAGCTGGGTCCGCTTCTCAAGTCGGTTAAGCTTAAGTTGGAAAAGAAAGCGGTCGGTTTGCCCCAGTCAAAGTGGAATAAGGATGATGAGGATGAGGATGAGGAGGGGGGAGGAAAGGGAGAGGATGAAGAGGGGAATGAGGAGGGGGATGATGACGAGAGGGGAGGGAGGAAGGGGAAGAAGAGGAGGGAATCGGTAGGTGGGAGTGATGCTGCGGATGGTTCTCATTCCGCTGGTGCTGCGGCTCCGTCCCCCTTTAAAGCTGCCTCGATTGTCTCATACAACTCGTCAGACGAAGACAAAGGCTCACCACCCCGGCGCACCTCTGCCGCCCACCGATACTCTGTCTCTTCTGGGGGAGGCGGTATCCAGGGTAACAGGCAGATGCACTTTCAAGACCAGCAGGAGGAGGAGGAGAGGAGGGCAAAGCAGAGGAAACTAGAGCTAGCAGTTTTGGAATTTAGGGATGCTTTAGAGGCTCAGCATTTCAAGGCGTTTGAGGTGGAAGTGAAAGTTGCGGCGCACAGGAAGAAGCTTGAAGAGGAAATGGCTGCTGGCACGTGGCCGCCCATGATTGGGCGGTTGGCGTCGAGCGGGCGGCAAGCGTCGGCTGCATATGGCGCACCCCTTGGGACTCCAGGTACGCTACTGATGCTTGCTTTTTTCAGAGATTCATTTTTCCTGGATTTCCTTCCTTTTCCTTTCGAGATCTTCTGTTTGGATTTTCTGGTTCTGTGATATGTTTTTCTAACCACCCCTGGCTCTCTTTTCGACCCACCTTCACCACGATTGGATCCCATCGTCCCCCTCCGAACCCTTCCTACAATCACATCCGCTTACATTCGCTGCAATCACCTTCGCCTTGATTTGTCTCTCACGGTAAGCAGGGAGAAGGGAGGAGGTGGGGATGGCAGCAGCAGGGGGGGAGGAAAGAGATGAGGGGAGTGAAGGGAGCAAAAGGCATGTGGTCTCTTCTGAGCAGCAGGAGCAGCAGGGAAGTAAGCACAAACGTGGACGCAACAGGAGCAGGAGCAGAAGCAAGAGCAGGAGCAGAAGCAGGAGTAGAAGCAGGGAGCAGGAGCGGGAAAAGGAGAGGGAGAGGGAACGAGCGAGAGATCGTGAGAGAGGGAGGGCGAAGGAGAAGGAAAGAGAGGAGAGGGAGAAGAGTGGGGAAGGGCGGGACTCAGGTAGTGATGAGGGTGATAAGTCTCAGGATAGGGAGATGGGGAAGGGGAGGGAGGAGAGGAGTAGGAAGGATAAGGACAGGGAGAGGGAACGGGAGAAGGATAGGAAAAGGGGTAGGGAGAAGGAAAGGGAAAGAGATCGGGATTTGAAGGAAACGGATTGTGAGGATAGGGATGATGAGAAAGGTGGTGAGAGGCATAAGGACAGAGGTAAGGAGAGAGAGAGGGACAGGGACAGGGAGAGGGAGAGGGAGAGTGGTAAGGATAGAGAAAGAGAGAGGGATAGGGATAGGGAGAGGGGGAAGGATCGGGAGGAGCGGGAGAGAAGTAGAGATGGGGAGAAAGGGAGGGACAAGGAACGACAAGGAGACCGCGACAGGCACCGAGATAGTCATAGGGATAAAGACAGGGAGAGAGAAAGGGAGCGAGATCGGGAGAGTGCGAAGGACAGGGAGCGTGAAAGAGAGAGGGAGCGTGGGAAGGATCGTGGGAGGGTGAGGGAGAGAGATGAGGACGACAGGGAGAGGGAGACAGAGAAGAGGAGCCGGAGGTGAGGGCTGCAAGGATAGATGGAGGTTGGGTGTGCTTTTCAGGTGCCTCAGAAACAGGACAGAGTTATGGAAATGCAGGGGGGGGAGAGAGAGGGAGACGGAGAAGAGGAACTGGAGGTGAGGGCTGTGAGGATAGATGGGTGGTTTTGGGAGGAGATGGGAGATGTAGGGTTACAACAAGAGAGATGGTAACAAATATACTTGTTGGGAGTTGGGTTTTCTGGCGCCTGAATCACCAAGGAAATACGCATGCTGGAGGAATCAGGAGATGAATTTAGATTTTTATAGATACTTGCTGGTACCGTGAATTTGTGAATTCGACTGGTTGTCCAATTGATGTTAAGGTCTGCTAGAAAGGCATAGTGCCGTCGTAGCGGAAGCCTTGATTGTATAACAAGACAGAACAGAAAGTTTGCAATGGAATTCATTGATGCACTGGAATGACAGAGCAGGGTATTTATGTCTGCAGCTAACCCCTTCAGAATGGCCCTATCCACACCAATAATGCCACACCAATAATTCTACCCGCCAATAATTCTTACCCTCCAATAATTCTAGACTCCAATAATTCTGGCCCTCCAATAATTGTACAATAATTGGAGGGCTGGGGGAGTCTTATAAAGGAACACTACAGTAAAATCTAACAGCAAAATCTAACAGCATTTGTATTATCTTATGTTTGTATATTTAACAAGTCCAACAGACAGACAGCTTGTTAGAATTAGTTAGTGCTCTTGAGGTCATGCGTAAGACTAAAATTGCAGTTTACAGAAGATGTGTAAGCATGTGGTAAAACATGCTAACCCATGTATCTAAAGGCCCAGGGAGACAATAATGCAGACAATCTGTTGGAGGATTCGCATGTCCATCAGGTCTCATCTCTGTCATCCTCTCAACATCCATAAACACCCCTCCAATTTCCTTCACCAATTGCTTTGCAATCATGTTTTGCTTGTGAAAGTCGCCCCAGTGGTACGGATAGGAGCTCGAGTCTGGAGGCTCCTTGTAAGGATCTGTAAGTTCTCTTGTGCAGTTGGGATGGCCAGCCGGCGTGCTCCGGTAAACCACAAGCGTGTTCGGTGCAGCATCTCTAACTTCGTGGAGTGTCGCATTGAGCTCAGGAGTAAAAACCTCATTCCCTTCATAGTGCGCTCCACGATTCAGTAGTAGCACTGCGATGTTGCGATTCTGCTTGAGCGTCCTCATCCAGGGAGTGTTGATGCAGCAAGAGATCTGAACCAGGTAACCATCTGACGTGTTTAGTAGGTCATTCCGGATGTACACTATTGTGGTGTTCCCATATCGAATTTCATGGCACTGATAGCTGATCTCAGGAATCTTTCTATGCTCCGCACAGGATTCCTGTCGAATCTTCTCCACTTCAGAGCATTCCTGCTTTATTTTCTCTTTAAGCTGTTGCCGCTGCTGCTGGTGATGCAGCCTCGCCTGTTGCTCCTGCTGCTCCTTCTCCTGCTGTTGCTGATGCTCCTCCTGTTTTCCCTCCCATTTCCCCTCCAGTTTCCTCTCCCGTTTTCCCTCCTGCTCCCCTTCCTGTTTCTGGTATTGGTTCTCCGGTCCTTGTAGCTGTTGCCGCCGTGGCTGCTTCTGTTGTGACCCCTGATGCCCCTGCTGGCCCCCCTGCTGCCTCTCCTGCCCCTGATGCCCCTGCTGCACCCCCTGATGCCCCTGCTGCGCCCCCTGATGCCCCTGCTGCGCCCCCTGCCGCATCTGCTGGCTCTGCTGCTCCCTTTCCTCTTTCCATTTCTTCCACACCTCAAAGCTACACTTCTTCTGGCACATATTCATAAGATTCCTAAAGGCCATTAATACTTGTAGGTTTATCGAATCTCCCACTATCAGGATCTTCCGTCCGTTTGGATCAAGCCCTGCTTTCAACCGCGCACAGTCCACATCCGCCCACCACTCACTTCCTGCGCACCCCTCCATTCCTCTTCCTCCTCCCCCCTCCTCTCCTGAACTGTCACCCCCTTTCTGCTTCGGCAAAAGCCACCGGTACTTTACGCTCGGCCGAACCTGCCACACCGCTTTGCCCCCCCTCCTCCTAGCCACACCATCCGCAGTATCATACGCGATGTTCGGAAATGCAGCTGCCCCAGACGTACCATTCTGCCCGAAAATGTTTTTCTGGGCCTCTGTAATCCACCAGTAGTCACAGGAAGAGTACCCGGTCTTTTTTACTTCCTTCCATGGCAGGTATCTTGGCTTAGGGTCATATACCCACTGACCTTTAGATGTCAAGCATTCAAATCTGACCTCAAAACTTCTAACCTCGGCTATAGTAGAAAGCCTCGTCCCTGGGATCAACGGCTGAGATGGATCGGCAGTTGCAACTTCATGTCCAGCAATCCCTCCCCCTTCCTTCTTTTCCATCTCAATTGCTACCGCCCCGCCCACTCTCCTCGTATCCTTGCTGCCTTCAGAACCTATGTCCGAGACTCCCAGCAGAATAGGCGCCGCCGGCAGGGTCGCGCGAAAGCCTGACGCGAAAATCTCGAAGCAGAGCGCAACAGCGATGCACGTGGCGAATAACACGAGTACGGGACTCCGCACGCTGCTGCCTCCGGGAATGGGTTTAGGTTTCGCAGGCCGTGACTTCGTCATCATCACCAGGACGTCCAAAACTATTCTAAAAAGTCGATTTGATTTGCATACGTAACGTGCAGGTCGGAGTTTGGCAAGTTCGGTGGGATGTCGCTGACCAGCGGCGGTTGCGAGAAGTTTTTGAGAATTCTCAAAAACTCATTGCGAGAAGGCAAAGCAGCTCCGACGGACCTCAAAGGAGCGCATAAGATGCACCCACGATGGCATCTGGGCACGCTAGTTCGGCTACCTGCGAGCTTCTGCGGCGGAATGCAATATAAATCTATCGGTGTCCCCCTACAGCTTCTGTGGCTTTTCAGCGACAAACGCGCTCAGTACAAGTCAGGGGGGGGTGGCAGTTTCAAGCTGGATGGTCGGTGGTAAACGACTGTTTTAGAAGGCAAGCAGATCTCAAACAGCAATGGACACTCCCCCATAACAGCCTGCCTGGGCTACCTGCACATCCCAAAAATCGGGGGTCCCGAAAAGTAGGGTTTCGGAAAGTAGGATTGAAGTATCAGTTCGATTTGAGTCTGGAAACATGCTTTCGACGCATCGCGTCGAAATGAAATCAAGGCACGCAGCTTCGGAAGGCTCAGTTTTGTCTGGGCAGCTTTGCTATCAGCTTCGGAAATCGCCTCACTGGTTGAGAGGCTAGGCTTGCAGGATCGGGGACAGGTTTCAGCTTCGGCGACCTTATGGGAGGCCAGGAACTTAGCGAGTGTCCCATTGGCCCTATGTCTCGATGGAGTCAGCTGAGTTGGCAGTTTGATATTTGTAAGGGAAAATATGCCGTTCGTAACCATCATGGGACTCGAAAAACAATTTGGTAAAAAAATAAAGGGTACGTTCACTGCAAAGGGTGTTTTCACGCGACTGATAAAGCGTTTCACGGAATCAGTCACAATCAGCTGGTAAAAAAAAACGCGAATGGTCACAGATGAAACTCCCGCCAAAACAAAATGAAACCCAGAAAGAATCTGGATGCATTTTCGGATGATCAACCCTAAACACGTAACTCGCCAGGTGTTTAGGGTTGATCCGTTCCCAAACCGCATCCGATTCCGATTGGGTTTTAGTTTTTTTACAAGTTCGCAGATTGGTTGGGCGCGAGCGGGAATTTTGTTGAGTCTCAAGTTTTTTTGGTGGGAGTTACATGTGTGACCATTCGCGTGATTTTTTACCTGTTGTTAGTGACTGAATCCGTGACCCCGCTTACCAAACCCGTCAGAAAACCCGATACAGTGACCGTACGCGTTTTTTTTTTTTACCATTCACGTTATCGAGTCCCAAGTTGGTTACTTGTGGCATATTTTCCCTATTTGTAATACATGATAGTACATTGTCGGGAAGAATTCGAAACATATGTTGTGAAACAAATACAGGCATTTCTAAACATTGTTAGCAGATTTATTATTGTCAGATTTATATGACATAGCTACTGTAGGCTATAGTGGGGTAGCACATATGGGGTACAGTTTTCTAGGGTTTGCATTTGTACCCAACTTTCCCTTAGTCAATTCATTCTCGTTCAGTTTCTCATGGTATCGAGCAGGTTCCCCTGTGGGAACTGTTCCTAGGGCCCACCACCTTTTTTTTCCTGCCCGGAGCGCGCTCTCCACTGCCCGAGTCGCGCTCCCCCCTCTCGACCCTGTCGCGCCGCCTTAGCGGCCACGTCGCGTCGCGCTTGCGGCCCCGTCGCGTCGCCCTCGCGGCCCCTTCACGTCGCGCCGCCCTCGCGGCCCCGATCCGCCGCCCTCGCGGCTCCTTCGTGTCGCGCCGCCCTCGCGGCCCTTTCACGCCGCCCCCGCGGCCCTTTCTAGCCGCCCTCGCGGCCTCTTCAAGCCGCCCTCGCGACCCCCCCCCCCCCTCCTAGCCGCCCTCGCGGCCCCGTCGCCTACCCCTGCGGCCCCGGCGCCGCCCTTCCCTGCCTCGGCGCCGCCTCTGCTGGCCCCGTCGCCTACCCCTGCGGCCCCGGAGCTGCCCTTCCCGGCCCCGGCGCCGCCTCTACTGGCCCCGACGCCGCTCCACCCGGCCCCGACGCCGCTCCACCCGGCCTCGCCGCCGCTCCACCCGGCCCCGCCGCCGTCCCCACGCGGCCCCGCCGTCACCACCGAGCCGCCGGCGCCGCCGAGCTACTGCCGAGCCGCCCGATCCACCCGAGCCGCCCGAGCCGCCGCGCCACCTGAGCCGCCCGAGCCGCCGGGTCGCCGAGCCGCCGAGCTGCAGTTGCTGCCGAACCGCCGTACCGCCGAGCCGCCCGAGCCGCCCGAGTCGCCGAGTCGCCGAGCCGCAATTGCTGCCGAGCCGCCGTACCGCCGAGCCGCCCGAGCCGCCCGAGCCGCCGAGTTGCCGACCCGCCGAGCCGCCGAGCCGCCCGAGCCGCCCTGTCCGGTAAGAGCAGCGCCTCTGTCACTGCACTGCCCTTACCCTACTGTTCGCGCTGCTAGTCTACTGCTGTCATGGCTACCCCTAGTGTCCTCGCTTTTGACGCTGAGGGTCGGGCCATTGACTTTGATGTCTGGGTAGATGACCTGCAGCTTTTCCTACAGTGCGATAGGGCAGACGGTCTCTCCCTCTTTGACCTCACCTCTGGTGCCTCTCCTGCCCCTGCTGCTGATGCCGACGCCACTGTTCGCTCACAGTGGGCCACACGCGATGCTGCTGCACGTCTTGCTGTGCGTCGCCACCTGCCTACCTCTGAGCGTGCGCACTTTAGCCAGTACAAGAGTGCTCACACCTTGTACGACGCTGTAGTTGCGCGCTACTCCTCCCCTGCCACTGCTGCACTGAGCCGCCTCATGCTACCGTACCTCTTCCCTGACCTTGCTGCCTTTCCTACAGTCGCTGACCTCATTACGCACCTCCGCACTAGTGACACTCGCTACCGCGCTGCGCTTCCTGCTGAGTTCTGCGCCAAGAACCCCCCCCCCCCATGTACATCACCCTCTACTACATAGTCACCCGGCTCCCTGACTCCCTTCGCTTAGTCAGGGACCACTTCCTCTCAGTTTGCCCCACCACTCTCACCGTTGACCTCCTCGAGAAGGCCCTCCTAGCAGCAGAGAAGAGCATAGTCGCTGTAGGAGCCTCTCGTGGTGACCCTCGCACCCCCGTCTTTGAGGGGTGTTCCCCCTCCCCCCTTTTGCCCTCTGTTGCCTCTGCTGCTGCGGCCGACCTCGTTGGTTTCGAGTCGGTCGGCGCTGCGTCTGCCCCGAGCGGGAGACGCCGCACCGGCAAGGGCAAGGGGGGCAAGGGTGCTGGAGGGGTTGGCGGGGGTGGCGGAGGTGGCGGTGGAGGCAGTGGAGGGGGTGGGGGTGGTGGTGGGAGTGGTGGCGGGGGTGGAGGTGTCGGTGGCGGCAGTGGAGGCGGAGGCGGCGGCGGCGGTGGCGGTGGGAGCGGAGGTGGCGGAGGTGGCGGCGGTGGAGGAGGCGGCGGCGGAGGAGGTGGAGCTGGTCGGGGTGGCGCTGCGCAGAGGGTCGGCTCCGGTGGTGGTCAGCGCCAGCAGCAGCAGCAGCAGCGGCAGCAGCGCACTCGTGACATCCCCCCCCCTCAGCAGCTCCGTGAGTGGTACGCTGCACGCCAGCGGGGTGGGGGTACTGGTCCGTGCACCTACGTCCTACGCACCGGCGACCGCGCGGGTGAGCAGTGCGGGGGTGCGCACTCCACCCAGCGCTGCTTTGGCCGCCTGACGGACGCTTGGTGTCACCAGTTCCCTGAGGCCACTGAGATCCCCCGCTGGGGCGAGCTGTCTAGGGCGGGTGTAGCTGTCTTTGACCTTGACTTTGATGCTATTCTTGCTGCCATGTATGCTGTGACTATTAGTGATGAGGGTGACTGTTACCGGTGTTTTCCGCCCGACCCGGGCATTGAGACTGCTGCTCTAGGTACTGGTGAGGCTGCTGCTCTAGGTGCTAGCGAGGCTGCTGCTCTAGGTGCTCGTGTGTCTGCTCCCTCAGGTGCTGGTGAGTCTGCTCCCTCAGGTACTGCGTCGGCTTCGGCCTCCCACACCTTCACCCTTGACTCGGGGGCTTCTCGCTCCTTCTTTCGAGACCGCACCACACTCACGCCGCTTGGCCGGCCAGTTGCAGTCTCTCTGGCAGACCCCTCTGGGGGTCCTGTCCTTGCTCACTTCTCCACTGTCCTCCCGTGTCCGGCGGCCCCCTCTGGCACCCTGTCTGGTCTTTACCTCCCCTCGTTCTCTACG